TAAGACTCCGAGCAATGGGTTCCAATTACAGGAAAGGATATTCCAATTAAATATTAGAAAGACCTTCCTGACTGTAAGAGCTGTTGAACAGTGGAATTCACCACCTCAGAGTGTGGTAGAAGCTCCTTCTTTGGAGGATTTTAAACAGAGGCTGGATAGCCATCTGTAAGGTGTACTTCATGCTTTTCCTGCATGTCAGGTGGTTGTGCTGGATGGCCCATGTAGTCTCTTCCAACTCAATGAATCCACTGTTGTCAAAAATGTGTAGAAAGCATCAAATAGCCTGTTCTTAATTCTGAATGTGAAAGAGAATATTTGATTGAAAGAAACCGATTTTTTTTACTTAGACAGACCCATCTTAGCCTTGTAATATAGGTCTTTGGGCAATGTACTGGCCTTTTAGTTTTCAATGAAATGGTTTTTGAGTGAGTGGCAAGAGATCACACAACAGCCTTTTTCCGGTGGTGCTCTTGAAATATCTTCAAAGTTGTGAATAGGATCCTTGAGACCAAGGACTGGATACTCTTGATTTACACAAAATCCAGTGTCCTCTGTATGTGTTAGTTCACCATTTCCATCATTACTGGATTCTTCTGGGTGGTTGAGGTAGTTGCGTGTTTTTTTGTGTAGAACAGTTATCTGTTTGAAGGTTTCCTCCATTTTATAAACTGTCAAAAGCAAATTTGATTTTATGCTAAAGAGCTATAAGATGAGCACACTGACCTTGCAGCTGCCCATCCACATGATTTGTACTATATAGAGGATGGTGGAAGTGGAGACAGAGTTTACCAACTTGGAAAGTTCTTCTAAAGTTCAGACTAAAATAAGAATAGTTTTACTACTCACTGACATAGAAGGCACCAGTTCCTACTGCTGTCCAGTTCTGGTCTCCCTTTGTATCCCATTGGACACAATTTATCACTTACTTTAGGTAAGGTCAATCTGATTCTTCCCACTACCTTTCCTTACTCCGTTAAGTCCTCCTTGTTCTCCTTCAACTTTCCCCAAGTTGACTCGTTGTTATCCTCATGCTTCTGCCCTTTCTGACAGAAGCACGAAAGTTTACCCTACTTCTGCTCATTGATAGCATCTTCTCAGTTCAGAAAAATACCTCTGGTCAACAGGGTTGCCCTCCCCAGAAATACAGAGGAGTATCAAGATGGCAAAATTTGGATGCCACCACTTCACTTTGAGGCTCCCTTAGATACTCAGTTACCAGATGAGCATTTTGTGGGCACAGTGGAACGTAGCCACTGGTGCAGCAGTTCACGCAGGTACTGTGCCACTTACCTTATCAATAATAATAATAATAATAATAATAATAATAATAATAATAATAATGGTATTGAAAGCCACTGAGATATCCAAGAGAACCAGAAGGGTCACACTCCCCCTGTCCAGTTCCCTGCGGAGGTCATCCACCAAGATGACCAAAGCTGTCTCAGTGCCATGACCAGGTCTGAAACAAGACTGTGACTGGTCCAGGTAGTTGATGTCATCAAGGAAACCCTGGAGCTGAGAGGCGACCACCCGCTCCAGCACCTTGCCCAGAAACGGGAGGTTGGAGATTGGTCTGTAGTTACTCAAGACTGTGGAGTCAAGGGAGGCTTTTTTCAGAAGTGGTCTAACCACAGCCTGTTTCAACCCAGATGGAAAATTCCCTTGCTCCAATGATGCCTTTATGATCAACACAAACAAGTCAATCAATCCACCTATAGATAAAAGTGCACAACTGGAATGGGAATGTGAACCAGTGGGACTAGTCATTTCAGCATCCTCGATATGATGTCATGTCATGTGTGATTTCCGCCTTACAACTACTGTATCGAATACAATGTCGAGATCAGGTAAGTCATAGTACCACTCTAGACTGCTTTGATCAAAGCCGACCTGGAATATTGTGTCCAGCTCTGGGCGTCACAATTGAACACAGACATTGACAAGCCGGAATGTATCAGGAGAAGGGTGACTAAAAAGATCAAAGGTTGGAATCCAAGTCCTTTTAAGAACAAGTGAAGAGGCTAGGGATGTTTAGCTTGGAGAAAAGAAGGCTGAGAGGAGACATAGCCATGTTTAAATATTTGAAAGGACATCACATTAAGGAGGGGGGCAAGCATGTTTTCTACTGTTCTAGAGACCAATGGACTCAAATTGTAGGGAAAAATATTCCACCTAAACTTTCCTGAAAGAGCTGTTCAGTGGTAAATGTGCTGCCGTAGAGCATGGTGGAACCTCCTTCACTGAGGTTTTTAAGAAGAGGCTGGATAGCTATCTGTTGGGAGTACTTCAATTGTGTTTTCCTGCATGGCAGAGGGTTGGACTGGATGGCCTCTGTGGTTTCATCCAGCTCTATGGTTCTATTATTCTGTCAAAGAGAGTCAGCTTGGTATCTGTAAAAAGACTGAAAAGTCTTGCAGCAATTTAAAAACTCAACAGTCCGAACCTATATCTATCTGCTACTGCAGACTTATTCCCAGGTAAGTTAGAACTGTAGCCCTGACTAATTTATTGTGACATGAACTCCAGCTAACTTTCCCAGAAGAAGAAACCTGTATACTTTTTGTTCCTTCAGAACTTTCCAGAGAACTTTCAGTAATAAACAAAACAAAAGATGTCAGTGGTTCTATCTTCACTTGAAAATGTAGAAAGCATTTTCATCTGACTATTTTATATTAGCGTCCATCATCCTCATATTTTTTTAAAAATAATAACTACTTTCTTCTCAATGTCCAGATTCCCCTTTCCTTGCAACCTTGCCACCTTCAGAGAAAATCCTGATTTTATTTGAGGGTAGTATTTCCCAACTTTCCTATGTGTAGGATTATGGTTACTGTCATAACAATTCTGACTGCTAGTGAGCACAATTCAAAGTGCTATAAAACCCTAAACAGTTCCAGCCTAGACTATTTGTCCAAACATATCTAGGAACTACTTCGGAGGCTAAGATCTTCTGGGGAGGCCCTGCTCTCCTTCGCAGGCGCATGGTGAGGGCGAGAGACAGGGCCTTCTCAGTGGTGGCCTCATGACTGTGGAACTCCCTCCCCAATGAAATCAGATCAGCCCCTTCCCTCCTGACATTCAAAAAAAAAAACCCTAAAATGTGGATGTGGGACAATGCTTTTGGATAGTAATTTTCCGTGCAATAAGTGAACATTTTATTTATTTATTTGCCATATTTGTACCCCGGCCTTCTCACACATATATATAGAGGCAACAATTCAATGCCATTCAAACATACATCCAACACAATAAACCTATACATTAAAAACAACCGCTAACAACACATCCAATTTTAAAACCACGCAATCCAATGACATAGTCCAAGGCCGTTCCAATTGTAATTGCACTATTCCATATTTGCTTATGGCACAGAAAGATTATTATCCAAACACTTAGTCCCACATCCACATTTTTTTCCTGAAGGTCAGTGGGGAGGGGGCTGATCTGATTTCACTAAGGAGAGAGTTCCACAGCTGAGGGGACGCCACTGCTTTGAACAGTTTGTAAAATGGAGAAAACCTTCAAAAAGATCATTGTTCTTAAAAAAAATTGGACGACCTTGGGTGGGTCACACCCTCTCAGCCTCAGAAAAAGGCCAAAGCAATCCTCCTCTGAGCATATATGACGGAAACAAGAATAAGAATCACACACACAAGAAGTGGAAAGAGAAGGTTTTTTGCAATCTCAATACCCGAAGCTTTTAAACAGAGGCTAGATGGCCAACTGTCGGGGGTGCTTTGAATGCAATTTTCCTGCTTTTTGGCAGGGGGTTGGACTGGATAAACAAACTCTATAAACAAGCACCTTGGTATCCCTACGGATGTCCTGGTCCTCAAACACTCTCTGCTTTATTCGGGAATGCTGCACTCGCAGAGCTCAGGCGGTGTTGTATTTCGGTGTCGATGTTGACTTTGGTGGAGAGGTGGCTGCCAAGGTAGCGGAAATGGTCAGCATTTTCTAATGTATCTCTGGCATTGGGGAGGGGATGGCTGGTGACTGCTGGAACAACACTTTGGTTTTCTCGATGTTCAGTGACAGGCCAAGCTTCGTGTATGCTTCTGCGAAGGCAAATCTCTTGGGAAGACAAGCGAACAAACGTCAGCGTGCTGGAAGAAGCAAAGACCACCAGCATTGAAGCGATGGTCCTCTGCCATCAACTCCACTGGGCTGGCCACGTTGTCCGGATGCCTGACCACCGTCTCCCAAAGCAGTTGCTCTACTCTGAACTTAAGAATGGAAAACGGAACGTTGGTGGACAGGAAAAGAGATTTAAAGATGGGCTCAAAGCCAACCTTAAAAACTCTGGCATAGACACTGAGAACTGGGAAGCCCTGGCCCTTGAGCGCTCCAGCTGGAGGTCAGCTGTGACCAGCAGTGCTGCAGAATTCGAGGAGGCACGAGTGGAGGGTGAAAGAGAGAAACGTGCCAGGAGGAAGGCGCGTCAAGCCAACCCCGACCGGGACCGCCTTCCACCTGGAAACCAATGCCTTCACTGTGGGAGAAGATGCAGGTCAAGAATAGGGCTCCACAGCCACCTAGGAATCCACAAGGAAACCCATCATGGAAGACCACCTTACTCGTCCAACGAGGGATCGCCTAAGTAAGTAAGTGGACTGGATGGAGGTCTCTTCCAACTCTATGATCCTACGAGGAGGAGGAGAAGAGGAAGAGTGCTCACTGGGCACCCCTTTACACTGACCCTTTCGCGCAGTTCCAAACCGGTATTGAAGAAAGTGCTTTCGCGGTGTAGATAATTTCACAGGATATCCTGGATGGGGGTTCCACACACCGCAAGCTGTGATGCACATTGAGGGCTTCCTTTCAGATGCTTTTTTTTTTTTGCGGGAGTTTGTTGTCTCTCCGCCGCAGTTGGGCGCTAGCTCGGAACCGCATTAAACAATCAGTGTAGATGAGAGCAGGACCCTTCGGGAGGGCAAGCGCGTACCCACTGCTGCCCCTTCCTTTGCCCCCCAGGAATCGCCAAAGGGGCTGAGGAAGAGCTTGCCTCTCCTTTTGAGCACCTCCAGCGTTGGCTTCTCCTCCTTTTCCTCCATCCTCAAGGCGCCTTCCCAGATCGCCCACCCATCCTTTGCCAGCCTTTCTCTCTTTTCAGTCCCAATCTTTCCTTCTCTCTCGCGTCTCCCTCCCTCCTTTCCTCCCTCCCTCCTTTCCCTAAACCGCCCACTATTAGTATTCCACTCGCGTCCCCGCTGCTCGCAGGAGCGCTTTTGCTGCAGCGCTCTCGGCGCCGTTGGTTGGCTGGCTCTTTGGCTGGCTGGCTACCGCTGGGGTCGCCTTCTTCGCCTTCATCCTCCTCCTCCTCTTTGCCATCCTTTGCCAGCCGCCGGCTCGGGTCGGAGCCAAGAAGACCGACCCAGGAGGAGGAGAAGGGCTGGGCTGCTGGGCCGAGGTGGTGCTCTCCTCTTCCTCTTCCTCCTCCTCCTCTCCTTCTTCACCATTTCTTCCTCCTCTTCTTCTTCTCCATCCTCTTCTTCCTCATCCCCACGCTCCTCCTCCTCCTCTCCGCCAAAGGCCTGGATGAAGCCCCAGCGTTGAAGGAGGGAAGAGAGAGAGAGAGAGAAAATAATAAAAGGGGGAAGAGGGAGGAAAAAAAAAAAAGGAAAGAGGATGCTGCCTCCACGACGACCCCCGTTTGGGTGAGTGTGCGGACAAAACGGGGAGGGAAGAAAGAAGCATGGATCCTATTATTTTTGGTGGGGGGGGGGGGGGGGACCAATCCTGGAGAAAGCATAGAATGATAGAATATAGATAGATAAATAGATAATTAGGGAAAACGTTTGGAGAAGGGGAGAGAAGCTTGATCAAGGAATGGCGGAGAAGCTGGGGGGGGGGGGAGGAAGAGCCAGAGATGGGGTTGCTATGGAAACGGCACCTACTCTTCTCCCCCCCCTCCTCCCGCAAAGCGGCTGGAAGATGCTATCCCACCGCCATGGGCCTGGAGGTATCCCCATTCTCTCCTGTCGCACAGAGCCGGTCTTCTAGATGGGACCCCATTGGATCTAGACGCCTCCCTCTTTAGATTTCTCATTCTCCTTGGCATGCGTTCAATTACTACAAACTGCTCTCCATCAAAAAGGTTCAACCACCACCCCCTCCCCTCCCCAATTCTCTTTCCCAGCCTGCTCCCATAGCAACCCACTTTGCTTTCCCACAGAGCTGCTGCCTTTGCTTATTACTCAGGTTTGATGCCACACCCCCATTAAAGGAGGAGAAGGAGGGGGGGGGGGTTTCCTATGTTGAGACCCACAGAGCCTTCCCCTATCAAGGCCCTCCAAGAAAAGCATCCCCCGCCTGCCCACCGCACCTCTACACTGATGACAGAAAGCCTTTCCCTGGTTACCTCCCCACTATTTTTCTATCATGAGATTTTTTTAAAAAACCCATCAGTTCTCCTTCTGAAGGAAGTACAACCTTCAAACATAAAGCCCTGTGTTGCTGTGAATGTTCCGGGCTGTATGGCCATGTTCCAGGAGCATTCTCTCCCGACGTTTTGCTCACATCTATGGCAGGCATCGAATCATAGAGTTGGAAGAGACCTCGTGGGCCATCCAATCCAACCTGGCAAAAAGCAGGAAAATCAAATTCAAAGCACCCCTGACAGATGGCCATCCAGCCTCTGCTTAAAAGCCTCCAAAGAAGGAGTCTCTACCACACTCCGGGGCAGAGAGTTCCACTGCTGAACGGCTCTCACAGTCAGGAAGTTCTTCCTCATGTTCAGGTGGAATCTCCTTTCCTGTAGTTTGAAGCCATTGTTCCATGTCCTAGTCTCCAGGAGCAGAAAACAAGCTTGCTCCTTCTTCACTATGACTTCCCCTCACATATTTATACATGGCCATCATGTCTCCTCTCAGCCTTCTCTTCAGCAGGCTAAACATGCCCAGCTCTTTAAGCTGCTCTTCATAGAGCTTGTTCTCCAGACCTTTGATCATTTTAGTTGCCCTCCTCTGGATACATTCCAGCTTGTCAACATCTCCCTTCAATTGTGCTGCCCATAATTGGACACAGTATTCCAGGTGTGGTCTGACCAAGGCAGAATAGAAGGTTAGCATGACTTCCCTAGATCCAGACACTTTATTATTTATGCAGGCCAAAATTCCATTAGCTTCTTTTTGATGCCGTATGACATTGTTGGCTCATGTTTAACTAATTGTCCATGATCTTTTTCACACATACTGCTCTCAAGCCAGGCGTCCCCCATTCTGTCCCTTTGCATTTCATTTTTTCTTCCTAACATTTGCATTTCATTTTTTCTGCATCTTCAGAGGTTGTGAGGTTTGTTGGAGACTAGGCCAGTGGGGTTTATATATCTGTGGAATGTTCAGGATGGGAGATAGAACCCTTGTCTGCCTGAGGCAGGTGTGAATGTTGCAATTGGCCAGCTTGATTAGCATTGAATAACCTGGCAGCTTAAAGCCTGACTTCTCCCTGCCAAGGGGAATCATAGCATCATAGAGTTGGAAGAGACCTTGTGGGCCATCCAGTCCAACCTCCTTCTAAGAAGCAAGAAAATCACATTCAACGCACCCCCTGACAGATCGCCATCCAGCCTCTGCTTAAAAGCCTCCAAAGAAGGAGCCTCCACCACACCTTGGGGCAGAGAGTTCCACTGCTGAACAGCTCTCACAATCAGGAAGTTCTTCCTAATGTTCGGGTGGAATCCTTTGTTGGGAGGTGTTAACCGGCCCTAATTGTTTCCTGTCTGGAATTTCCCTGTCTTCTGAGTGTTGTTCTTTATTTACTGTCCTGATTTTAGAGGTTTTTTTAAAGCCAGATTTTGTTCATTCTCCGAGGCAGGAAGCAGCCAGGCTTTAAAGCTACCAGGTTATTCAATGCTAATCAAGCTGGCCAATTGATACTTGCCTCAGGCAGTCAAGAGTTCTTTCCCCCACCCTGAACATTCCACAGATATATAAACCCCACTTGTCTCCAACAAACCTCACAACCTCTGAGGATGCCTGCCATATATGTGGGCAAAACGTCAGGAGAGAGAATGCTTCTGGAAAATGGCCATACAACCCAGAAAACTCCCAGCAACCCAGTGATTCCGACCATAAAAGCCTTTGACAACACATAAAGCCCTGTGCTTAGGCTAGCTTGAAATCACTACCTATCCTCTGTTGTGTTCCCCCTCCCCAATAAATTATTATTTACTAAGGTGAATTGTTGATAATTCCCTTCACTTAGAATAAAATGTCCTCTTTTCTCTACCAGAAAGTGACTAGGTCCCTAATGAAACCATTCTGCTTATGCCCCAAGGCCCTCAGCTTTGTCCAGATGGGTTCATCAATGTTCATCACCCCCAGTCTGCTGTGCAGTGGGGACAATAAGGACTACAGTCCAACATGTCAAAAGTCCTCTCCTGATTGAGGAGGCTGTGGGGTCCCTCTCCAAAGAGGGATATGCCCCTCCAAATGCCACCTCAGATGAATGTGATCACTTCATTGATGAATCGTTTGAGTTACTGGGCTGTTTTTTTCATTCAGAAGTCACAAGGCCTCCCAAACCCAACTCCATCTTCTTTTTTATAACTGTGTTTATTAGCATGGGCTCTTTGGCCTCCAGCTTTCCCTTACCCTTTGTCATTTCTAGTAATTCTATCCTACTTGTGTTTAACTGGGGCCTTACAAGCCCCCAAAACTCCTCCCTGCACTATGGACCTTCCCGATATACCTTAGTACCTAGTACATATTGGAAATAGGTTGTTCCAAAACCTGGCTAGTTTCAATGGGAACATTTAATTGGAATTCTCCTACTTATGTGCTTTCTTTTTGCATACGGTGATCATATTGCATGATAATGCCATAGGATTCAATGTATTAATTTAATTATTTACTAGTTACATTTATATCATGGCTTTTGGGTATGGTGTATATGGCTGCCCTCCCCACCGTTATCCTAACAACAACCCTATGAGGTGGGCCAATCTAAGAGAGCAAGTGAGAGGCTGACTCAAAGCCATCCAAAGAGTTTCATGGCTCAGGAAGGACTACAACTTGGATCTCTGCAGTCCAGCAGTCAGCCATTACATTGCTTGGGCCTGGTTGTGCTTTATTGAATTGTAATTGATCCTTGGGTCCATTGCTCATCATGAGACAAAATACACTTCCTTCCCGATTCATTATTCCCACTACCTTTATACTTCTGTATCCCCTCCTACAGTTCGCTCTTCTCCAACCATTTAATCATTCCTAGATTTGGTCCTTTGTTGGTGTCATAAGTACCACTCAATGCAACCTAATTCTCCCAAACAGCAGATGAAGAAATCAAGCTGGATTTGGACTGCACCACTTCAAATGGCAGATGGTGACTGAGAGATCCTTTTGCTCATTCTTGATGAGAGCTGGTGGCTCACATGGCAATGGGGCAATGAATCTGCTCTGGGTTTTGGTCTGAACTTCAAAGAACCTTTCAAAATATGGAACTTATTTTGAGAATAGATTGTGTTTGCATCACTGAAACTGAAGTCATTTTAAAAAGGTGTGCAGGGGTATTCCACCATATGTAATACTAGAAGTCAAAAGGAGAAGAACACATTCCACCTTGAGATGCTATTGTGCTACATGTGGGGAGTTTAGAAGAATATCAAAATGATACACTCACAATATAGTTAATATTAGTTGTTTGAAAGACAAAGTTTATATCCAGAAGAGTCTGTGAACAAGTTTCTCCCCGATAATGGCTATTTTATTGATTGGTTATTATGAGTGGGGTGGAGGAGGAGATTGGAACATGAAACATAATGACACATTTATGCAAGAAAAAAGAGTGGGGAAAAGCCTTCAGAGGTCATTATAGGCTCAAAAGTACCTCGGGTTTTGAGATGTTGTCTGACTCTCGGCTATATCCAATCCAGCCAGCATGGCTAGTGTGTCCAGAATGGTGAAAGCAACTTCTCTAATTTGTAATTCAAAATCTGAAACTCTCCACATAGGTGGCTGAGATTGGGACCCTTTGCTTTCAATAGTTCAGTGTACACAAACTTTGTTTCAGGCACAAAATGTTTACACATATTGTATAACATTATCTACAAGCTATATGTGTACAGGGTATAATGAAACCTAATTGAATTTAGTGTTTAGACTTGAATCCAAGATTATTTTGTACAATATGCAAATATCAATATTCCTTTTTTTAAAAATCCCAAACATTTCTGGTCCCGGTCATGACAAGGGGCACTCAACCTCTATAAGATAATTTAAGAGACTGTTCTATCTTTGGGGGAAAAATGTGTGTTTTTTTTTTCTTGGAGGGATCTTCAAGTCCTGATTAATCCACTCCAAGATTCATTGAAGGCTTTTCCATGCACGAGGCCTAAAAGCATGGCTTCAGACTCAAGCACTGGAAAGTTGATAGATAAACCCGATTATTATGTTTGAAACACCGTTATACATTCAGAAATGCTAGCTGAAAATGATTCAGGGATGCAAGTTGAACATGATGGCATGATGAGGATGAGTAAATCCTAGATTATGGTCTGACACTTTGTGTGGTAGACAACTTGCTTAAGCTAAATAGATTTGAGTCTGTACAGTGCCTGAGTGAGAGACTCCTTTACTCACTTACTGCCTAAGTGTATTAAATAGACACATAAAGGTAGGGCAGAGGCTTAGGTATATTATCTCATTTGGAGGCAGAA